AGAAGGCTCTGGGGTCTTCCCAAACCTCCCCATTTCAAATTACAGCCTTCCCTCCATCCCATATCACCCTACATTAAGCTCGGATCACTACCCAACAAACCTGCTATTTATTATACAGTTTTCTCCTGTGTCTGTGGGTTACATATCCTTGGATTCAACCAACCACAGACTGAAAATGTCTCTACTGACCATAAGCAGGCTTTTTACTTGTCATTATTCTCTTAAAAAGACAAGTGTAACAACTATGTACACAGAATTGCATGGTAATCGGTAGGTATAGTAAGTCGTGCAGATATGAATTAAAGCATACTGCATGCTACACCTTTTATAGAAGGGACTGGGTCACCTGCAGATTTGCGAATCCTCAGGGGGTCTTGAAACACTCCCCGCAGTACTGAGAGATGATTGTGCTTATTTCTTCATTGTCTACTTGAGAATATGCGACTCTTTGCTTGCTGACCCCTCCCCCATCTAGCACTCAGCACAAACACGAGCTCCATAAATATCCGTTGGCTGTATTAATAAATGATCGAAAGCTCTCTTGTCTCCGCCTCGCGTTTATTCCAAATTCTTTCTCACCACGGCCATGGCCACCACCCAAATGGAAGCTACTATCATCCTGTCCTTAGGGACTTGGAGAGTGCCATTCATTAATCCATTCGTTTAGCCCTTCTCTTGTCACCAGCTGAAATCATCTTCAGTGAGGGAACTATCTCACCCCATTCACCCCACCAGGCTATAAGTAGCACCCCCCTGCCCTCTCCAAATGACTCGGCTCCCCCACGCCACGCGGGTCCCCAGGGGGCATGGGTACTTTGGGCCAACCTGGGTTGAAAGGGAGCTGCCGGGTTCTAATTCTTACAACCACTAGGAGGCGCTAGACTCCTTCCCTGCAGGGGCCCCCTGACCCTCTCACTACCCAAACCGCTCCGGAACCTGGAGACTTTCCTGTTATTGGTGGGGGTGGAAGGCAGAGGAGGGGAACTCTACCTGGAAATTCCCAATTTTGTGATCCTACAGACATCAAAACTTTCACCCCCAAGAATGCTTGGCTTTCTATGCGTCCGTTTTCTCCTCTGTAAAATGGATCACCATTTACTTTCCCTGCACTCTCAATTATCGTGGAGATAGTGGGGCTGCAAAGATGAAAGCCTTCCACGCCTCCGGGTTTGAATTCCGTCTCGACCACTCACACGACAGGACAATCTGGACAAATGTCTGAGCTCCCCTGGGCCTCAGTGTCTGCATCAAAAATTTGGGAACCTACCTCCCCCATCGAGTGACCTACTGAAACTTATGAGGTAGGACAGGCCAGCCGAAGTCTCCGTATGCAGTAAGTGCTCAGTAAAAGTCGTGGTGGCTACTGCTTTCAAGACTTATTATGAACCGTTGAAAACTTACACTTTGAGCCTTTAATAGGCGTGGGCAGAGAATTGTCTTGTCCACCCCCACTTTCTCCACTCGTCCCACCACCTGGGCGCTTCCCCTCGTTTTGCCCCACAGTCCGGCCCGATTCCACGCGTGCTGTGTTTTCCCGGACGTCTCTCCACAAAACCTGTCACCCACGCGGGGTCCTTTTGGGAACCCCAAGGGGGCAGTCTGGAGGAAATGCACGCCTCTCTACGTCACAGCCGCGGCCACCCCGGCCTCGGATCAGACCCAGACCGGGCGCCCCTCCCCTACCCGGAACCCTGGGGGCGGGGAAAGAAGCACCTCCCTCGGTCGCACAGGTCACCGGGTGCACGGGTGCTCAGGGAGAGCCTGTTGGCAGCGGCGGGTCTAAGGTCTGTACATTTGAAAATCATTCTAGTGGCCTGAGAACGGTGTGTGCGCGCTGAGTGGGCGTGGTCAGTCGGAAGAAGGAGGGGCTACATTTGAGGGGGCGGGGGCCATTGGAAGAAGGGATTAGCGGAGTTCCCAAGGAGGCGGGGTCTACCGGAAAGAAATACCTTCGAAAAGGGGCGTGGTTAGCAAAGAACCGATCTAGGGGCGGGGCAAGGACGAGGGGCGGGGTGGGAGCCTGGGAGGTTACGTTTGGAGGCGGGGCGCGGTCCAGTGGGCGGGGTCTAAAGAGGGCGTGGCCAGGTGGCCTGGCTAGGTTCCCACTAGGTGCGGTCTGGGGAGGCTAAGCCTAGTTGCAGTGCGCAGGGAGGGACCTGGAGCCACTGATCCTCCTTAGACCTTCACGGATCCGGCCTAGGTAAGCCGGAGGCCCTGGGCAGATCCAGGACTAGGGAATTTTGGAGGTGGAGAATCTTCTCATTCCAGGTACCGGCTTGCAGGGGGGATCTGGGGGCCTGTCCATGCGCGTCTGCATGGACTAGAGAGGGCATCCAGTGAGCCACGTGTCGGTGTAGCTGGGCGTACCTGCATGCGCTCTTCTGTGTTTCCTGTGCAACCCAGGAATCCTCTGATTCCACTTTCGCTGGAGCGATCCCAGATCGGGTCGCTCCACTTCCTGGCTTAAAACCCTTCCAAGGCTCCCATTTCATCGCACTGAGATTAAAATCCGGGTCGCACCAGCTCCTGTGCGGGCTCTCCCCGCCGGTCTCTCCCTGACCTCCTCGACTTCCACTCCGTTCCTTGCTCGATGCACTGCAGCCACATCAGCTCCTCCAGGGTGTGAAGGGTAAAAATAAAGATTCCTCTCACTGCCAGGTCTTTGCACTGGCTGTACCTGCCACCCGGACGACTCCATATCTTTGCAGTACTGCCTCCTTCTGTCCTGTGGTCTCAGCTCCTATGTCATCAACTCCTGACTTTGCTGCTTAAAGCAACCTACCCCCTCCAGCCTTCTTTATCACATCTTCCTGTTTTATCGCCCACATTGATTTCTCTTACAAATTATCTTCGTTCATTGTTTTCCTCCTGTGTCTTACCTATCAGTCTTTGTACTCTGGAGGGGTAGGCTGGGATTTGACCTCAGCATCTCCAGGGTCTAGAGAGGGCAAAGCGCACACTAAGTGCTCTATCATCAGTGTTTGCTCAATTCAAATGTAAGACCCCAGAGCCCTTGGCCCCCCTGTGTGGGTGTTGTGTGTGCTTGTGGCTGTCTCCTGTATGTGGTGGCACTCCTGAGCTCAGCCCCTTTGCCCGTTCTACCCCCTTTCTCTCTCCCCCACCACCCAAATAAATTATCTGAAAGGCAGGAGGATGATTTAGTTGGACTTTGACTGACCTGTGCCCACCTTGAAATCCCCAAAGTAACCCTGACTTCCGTGATCCACCTCCACTCCCACTAAGGGGGGCCTGAAGCAGAGGAGTTTGGGAGTTTGGAGTTGGGAGAGGAGAAGACCGAGGCCACAGAGCCTAGCCCATCTGACAAACAGGAAGTGGGCAGGTATTCAGAACACACCTGGCTTCAGGTATGCAGTGCCTGGAGCCAGCTCCCAGCCCAGCTGCCCTCCCCTAAAGCTGGCCAAGACTGATCTGGAAACTTCCTGCCCCTTCCTGGCCCACAGACCTCTGACTCAGGAAGCAGGAATCAGACCCCTCTGAGGCATTCACATGATGTTGAGGGGTGGGGGATTAAGAAATAGACGCCCTTCCCTCCCACCCAAGGCAATTTTATCTCCCAACATTTGAGACACACTGGCCCAGGGGCCTGTGGAATGATTTTGAAGCTCCCAGAATGCCTTAGAACGAAGGAATGGATGGGCTCCAAAACACAAGAAGAAACTGCAAACACAAAATTGCTACTCACTGATATTTCTCCAAATGTGTCCTCGCATTTAAAAAGTGCATGGGGTGTAGATCAGTAGTAGAGCGCTTGCCTGGCAGGTGCAAGGCCCTGAATGCCATCGCCAGCATTGGGGAAAAAAAATGCTAAAAAGAGAAAAATAGCATCACATGCTAAAGGGATAAGTTAGATCTTCTCACATCCTGAGAAACCCCAGGACTGCTGCCCCCAAACAGTGCATGTTTGTAAATTCATCCCCCCTTCAGGGTGTTTCCACCCAGAGAGCCACCAGGTTGATACCCTCAAAATTCTCCCAGTCCCGAATGAGCCCTCCCTGTCTACCTGGAAACTTCATCCTGCCTTCCGAACCTGCATCACATCCCACCTGGGTTTGTCTTTCCACCAGGTACTCCGTGACATCCTCCACCAAAGACAGGGGTTCCCATCTCTTTTGTCCACTTTGGGGGTCCAGTTCTTGGAACAGCACTTGGCACTGACACACAGGGCACTACCCACAAATACAAGTTCAGTGACTCGGTGAAAAAAAAAAAATTTCCCCCTGCTGGGTGGGGATGGAGCCTGGAGACTTGTGCATGCCATCACCGAGCTGCACCCCCAGCCCCGTGAATCAAGTTTCTATGAAATGTGGTAGTGTACAACAGTTTCATTTTTTTCACTTCAGAAAGATCATTTTCCACCAGGTGTGGGGGCTATGCCTGATCCCAGCTGTCTGGAAGGCCGAAGCAGGAGGATCCCAAGTCTGAGGCCAGCCTGAACAACTTAGCAAGACCCTCTCAAAACAAAAATAAAAGGGCTGGGAATGTAGCTCAGTGGTAGAATGCACCTGGGTTCAATCCCCAGTACTGAAAAAAAGTTCTGTTCCATTTGAGAGTAATGCTTATGTTACATCTTCTCTCTTTGCAAGAATTCCATAGATGCATGACTACTTCCCTAGAACTACTGAACTCCAAATTAAAGAAGTTACTTGAGGCAGACATTATATCATACAAAGTTATTAGTAGACAGAACTTATATATATGTATATATATATACATTTTAAATATGTTATATATAATTAATTTTATATATAATATGTAAATATAAAATATAACATATGATGTAATATTATGCCTAACATACAGATGTTATATATTACAATAATACAATGTATTATATAATACATAAATATATAATAGATACAATACATATTCAGAAATATATATTATATATATATTATATATATATATATATATATATTTTAGAGAGAGAGAAAGAGAGAGACAGAAAATTTTTTTATATTTATTTTTTAGTTTTCGGCGGACACAACATCTTTATTTGTATGTGGTGCTGAGGATTGAACCCAGGGCTGTGCGCATGCCAGGTGAGCACGCTAATGCTTGAGCCACATCCCCAGCCCCAGAAATATATTTTATGTAATTCTATTTTTACATAATATATAAACATTTAGAAGTAAATTATGTAATGTTTATAAATAGAATACATGAAACATAAGTTACTCAAATTAGATTTTTATATACAACATATGTATATTAGCTTATTTTTATGTAATAAATACTAAACATAAATTTATTTATTTATATATAAAATTATATAATCTTGGGCCAGGGATATAGCTCAGTAGTATAGCATGTATTTTGCATGCATAAGGCCCTGGATTCAATGCCCAGCAAAAATTGTGTGTGTGTGTGTGTGTGTGTGTGTGTGTAAAATCCAGCTATAAGTAGTTTAATTTAGAACACAATAGATATATGATATATATCATAGGTATTTACATTATATATATACACACACACACGTATATCCGTATATCTCATTACACAGTTGTACTTCAAGATGTGATAGAATGTGGGCTGTCATCTCCAAAAGCAGGGCTCATTATTTTCATTCTGCAGATGTGGAAGACCAAGCCTGCACCCTCTGCCCTCAAGATGTCCATGCAGGGGCCACAGAATGGAGAGGATCTCAACCACCAACCCTGGTACCATGGACTCCTATCCCGCCAGGTACCACTTCAGCAGGGTCTCAGCACCATCTGATGGGGAATCTCTCTTACCCTCCACTCAGGGTTGCCTGGATCTTGCCTAAGGGACTTAGTGCCCAGGTCTGTTGGGACTGGTGGCAGGGGCACTGTTATCTGTCATGAAGCTTGGCTGGCTGTGCACTATCACTTTCTTTCTTTCAGTTTTCACCATCTTGGGATCATGTGGAGGATGGTGATGAAGACTGAAGAGGGTCTTAATGCCCTCCAAACCACCCCATCAGTTCTCTGTCTCTCCCTTGGAGCCCTGTCTCTCTCCTGGCATCTCCCTTTCAGTGCAAGGCTCCCCACCTCCAACTCGGTGTCACATCCCCAGGAGGCCTGGGACTCTGAATGTCCAATGAGATTCTGGGAGATTTTTGGTTTTTAAACCCCCCTCCTGGAACCAGACATCCTGGGTTCAAATCCCAGTACTCTGATCTTGGGCAAGTTATTTGACCTTCCTGGGCCTGAGTTTCTCCATCTTAAGCATGGACATAATAAAATGTCCCACTTAGCCTTGTTACAAGGACTTGGTGAGTTAATACCATGTACACCAAAAGCAGTGCCAGAGCCAGAGGAAGGGTTGTACATGTGTCATGTATTTATTCCTCTGTCTTCAGCTTCCCTCTCCAGCTCCACTTTGCCTCTCCCAGGGGTCCTGGCCCTCCCACCTTATTTTGACCCCAGCTGCCACAGTTAGCATAAGATTGCTTGGAAATATAAAGGAGAGGTTTAGGGGGACCGTGATCTGTAAAGATCCAGTGAACGGCTTTTCTTGAAGCCACATTTGCATGGCAAGCCCAGGGCATTCACCAAGTTTGAAGTTGCATGGGTCAGCCTGGCTACACCAGAGTCTCAAGATGTCATCAGTTAAGAACAATCAACACTGTGAACTTGTTCATGTTGGTTGTTGAAGAGGGGGTACATGGAGCTCCATGGTCAGGACCCAAACCCATCCCGCAGCTTCACCTTCCTCTAGCAAGGTTTTACCAGTCAGGTCTGAACATTCCCCGCAGAACTTCTGCCCACGTCCCATTGGCCCGCTCTTGCCACATGATGCTGGGCGCAGGGGAGCCTGGGAAATGTAGTCCAGTTGTGTGCCCACCATAAAAGGGGAAATGGTTTGATGTGAAACTACCCCATCTCTGCCTGGCACAGAAGTTTCACGGGGGTGGCTTTCTGTGGGTGGAGAAGTGAAGGGAAGGCGTCACTGTTGACCACTGGTCTGGACTCATTCCTAAAACCCTGCCACCTGCCCTCCATCCTCAGAAGGCCGAAGCTCTTCTTCTGCAAGATGGCGACTTCCTGGTCCGTGCCTCCGGGTCCCGTGGGGGCCACCCTGTGATCTCCTGCCGCTGGCGGGGCTCCGTTCTACATTTCGAGGTGTTTCGTGTGGTCATGCGCCCCCGGCCAGGCCGACCAGCAGCTCTCTTTCAGTTGGAGGACGAGAGGTTCCCCAGCATGGCTGCCCTGGTTCTCAGTTACGTGACCGGCTGCCGCCCGCTGTCCCGGGCCACAGGGGCTGTGGCCTCCAGGCCTGTGATTCGGCAGGGGCCTCTGCGGCGCAGCTTTAGCGAGGATATACTGATGGACTGCCCAGTCCGCACAGGACATTTCAGGTACTCACAGTCTCTCGGCTTCTTTGACAGCCCCCAACATCCTCCAGGTTTCTCCCTCTCACTTTTGTGGGGGTCTGTCCTGAGCATTGTGGGAATTTGGGCAGCATCCCTGACTTCTCCCTCCTAGAGGCCAATAGAAACCCTTCCCTCTCTCCCTTGCTAAATATAATAACTAGGATGTCTTCACGCGATGCCCGTGTCCTCTGGAGGTAGGTCACCTTGCTGGTCCAGAAGCTTAGTTACAGAGTGACTGGATGCAGCTTTTCCAGGCATTGGCGGTGGCTGCCCTGCCTAGGCTGGGAGTATAGTTCTCTCCTACCTCTGTCCCCCAGGGACAGGAAGTGGAGCAACAGTCAGCCTGCAGACTTGGAGCTCACAGGGGAGTCAAAAGAAGACCACTCTGGACCAGGTGAGTGTCATCCAGGGCAGCACATGGCTCACATGGGCTCTGCCATTCACCATCTGTGTGATCTAGGATGTGATTTAACCTCTTGGAGCCTCAACTTCTTGTTCTGGTAAATGGAGACAATAATGCTCCCAGTGTTGTCACCTACTTTGTAGGTGCTTAAAAATATGTATTTGTGATTATGCCAAGAAACTACATGTTCTTTCCATGGCTGACCCTTCTGACCATTCTTGTCAAATACCCTCTTCAGCGGAGATGATCCTCCTTTCACTTCCTGGAATCTCCCAGGCTAGTTTCGGCTTCAGGACCTTTGTACTTGCTGTTCTCACCATTGACAGGATCATTCGTATTTCCCTAACCTTTTCTTGACTGGCCCCTTCTCATTCAACCCCAGTGCCTCAAAGTGGCTGACCATGACCATCTTATCTAAAGGAAGACTTGCCCTCATGACCCCTCATTTCTTGTTTGTCCTGTTTCCTCCCCCCATATTCAACATGAGCCCTCACCATATGCCAGACTCTGCCCTGAGTGCTAAGGTACATCAATGAGTAAAAAAGCCCAAGATTACCATCCAAGAGGGTCCATGTTCTATTAGAGAACAATGGACCATGACCCACAAAGATAAGTCCACTGTGTATGCTTTGGGATAAAAATTAAAAGTAGTAAGGGTGATTGGATGTGTAGGGGTGGAGGTAGATTTTGCACCTTTAAATAGTTGTCAGGAAAGGCTCCACTGAGAAAGATTTGAGGGACAGGAAGGAAAGAAAAGTGTGGATGACTGGGGTTGAAAGTGACCCAGACAGAGAAATAGGCAATGCAAAGGCCCTGAGGTCAGAACAAGAGCTTGAACTGTTCCTTCAAACAAAGGAGATGAGTGGGCTGAACAGTAGGAACAGGGAAAGGTCAGAGAGATCCTGGGGTTGAGATGAATGAAGACTTCCTCAGGCACTGTGTCAGAACTTTGACTCCTGGAGTGAGCTGGGACCCTTGGGGAGGCTTGGAGCCCCTAGAACAAAGCATTTTAAAATGCTTCGAAAATGCAGTCTCCTAAAACTCTTGGTATCATTTTAAGAACTAATAACCCCAGAGGTCAACATGCCACAAACTCACAAGGTATCATTTGGAAGTTTAATAAGTTCATTTTTTGACACTTGTGTAGTTTTTTTGAATTTTGTATAATGTATTTTTATTTTTCATTTTGTTCAGTCCATGCTTACCATCTTCAATCACAAGGGCAAAAATGAAAAACTCAGATTTAAAATGTGGGGGCTTGGGTGTGGTTCAGTGGTAGACATTTGCCCAGTACGCATGAGGCTCTGGGTTCCATTCCCAGCCCCCCCCCCAAAAAAAAAGAAATGAAAAAGTTAAATGTAGTTTTCAAACTATTGGTAAGTGTGGGTGGCCTTTATACTGGAGAAGTTGTTAAGGTACAAAACTGCACCCCAAGACAGGCTGGGATACTGTGTTATCCACTGAATGAGCAGATGAATCAGAAGGAAATCATGAATCTCCCACCTGCCCCCACCTTACCAGCTATCTTCCCAGTGTACTCCCATCATCCCCTCTTGTATGATCCCCAGGAACCTCTACTATGCCGATATCTGCCCTGCTCCGGACAGGCAGTGACCCCGTGTTGCCCAAGGCCCCCGCTCCCCTGGGGACTATTGCTGACAATCTCAGAGCCTCCGATGGCCAACTTCATGCTAAGGCACCAACCAAGCCCCTCCGGACACCCTCACTGGTGCTTACTGGAAGACCCCCGACCTACTGTGAGCTGGTGCCCCGAGTGCCCAGTGCCCAGAGAATACCTCCTGGCCAAAGCTGTTTGGAGCCAGAGTCACCATGGTGGGAGGAGGAGGAGGAGGAAATGGTGAAGGAGGACAAATGTTTTGCAAGGCCACAGGAGGAGGTCTCCTTTTGCCCCCCTGATACCCGATCTTGCCTGCTGGGTCCCCAGAATCGGCCCCTGGACCCCAAAGTCTTGTGTATTCTCCGTGGTTTGTTCCTGGATCACCATCCTGGGAGCACCGCCCTCCACTTGCTATTGGTGGACTGCCAGGTGAATCACCTGCACCCCCGCCCCCCACCGCCGCCGGGGCGGGCTGAAGCCAGGCAGGGCCCAATCGAACCTATACTAGCTTCATGGAACTGACCTCCCAATTCCCTCCCGAAGGCTGCAGGCCTCCTAGGAGTGACCAAAATTCAGCGAGCTGCCATGGGCGTCGCTTCGGGCCTGGAACTGCTCACGCTTCCCCATGGGCATCGCTTGAGGCTGGAACTGCTGGAGAGGTGATTCATCGACCTGGAACCTTGGTCCTGGAGGGGAAGTGGGTACGGGGGAGGTGCCCTGCACTTGCTGAGGGGAGCGATTCCCAGGCTCTCCAAACATTTCCCTATTCATGGCCTCCCAGGGGGGGAAGAGATGGGCAGTGCCACCTCCAATCCCACTCACCCACGCATTACAAACCTCCCTACTGCCCCCAGACCCTTGTTCTCTGCCTCCGCAGGCTAGAGACGCTGGCCCTGGCCGGGGCGCTGGCGGTGCTGGGCTGCTCTGGACCGCTGGAGGAGCGCGCAGCCGCACTGAGAGGCCTGGTGGAGCTGGCTTTGGCGTTGCGGCCAGGGGCAGCAGGGGACCTGCCCGGGCTGGCTGCGGTCATGGGAGCCCTTCTTATGCCACAGGTGTGTGGGAAACGGATGGGGAGGTAGCTGTAGCGCAGGAAATGGAAACGGGAGAGGAGGCAGGCACGGGTCTCTTTGCTTAGGTGTCCCGGCTGGAACACACGTGGCGCCACCTCCGACGGAGCCACACAGAGGTTGCGCTGGCCTTCGAGCAGGAGCTGAAGCCGCTGATGCGGGCGCTGGATGAGGGAGCGGGTAAGTGACTGTCTGGGATTAGACGTCGCGCGGAGCTGGGGACCAACTTTAACTGGAATCTCAGCAGAGCCCTAGGCCCCGCCCCTACCCTAGACTCCTCCCCCTGCTCTAGACCCCGCCCCCTGGGCGAGACTGGGTCCCAGCCTTATCTTAGGCCCCGCCTCATTGGGGCTTCAGCCCTAAGCCCCGCCCCTGCCCTAAGTGTGGAGTGCTAGGCTCAATCCTATGTGTCTGTCCCCAAGCCTTGTCCTGTCTTAGGTCCCATCTTGGTTCCGTGTGGCATTCTATTTCGGTCCTAGACCGGGTCCCCCTCACCATCGGCCCCGCCTTCCACACTAGGCTCGGTCCAGGGCCCTTCGCCTGGGTCCTAAGCCCCGCCGCCCTCGACCACGCCCTTGACCCAGTCCTCTCCGTAAAGCCCCGTAAAGCCTCGCTCTGGCTTCGGTCCTAGGCTCCACCCAGCCCTAAACCCACACACCGCCCAAACCCAGATCAGACCCTTCCCCTCCACAGGACCCTGCGACCCTGGCGAGGTGGCGCTGCCGCACTGGGCGCCCGCGGTGCGCCTGCTGGAGGGCGAGGAGCTTGCGGGGCCGCTGGAGGAGGGCTGCGAGCGGCTGCTGCGGACCCTGCACGGTGCGCGTCAGATGGCCGGCGACGCGCGCAAGTTCCGCAAGGCGGCTGCCCAGCGCCTGCGAGGTGAGTGCTCGCTCCGCGCCTGGCCGCCAGGGGTCCCGACATCAGGGACACCCCTCGGAGTCTCAGTTGGATGCCTCCAATCCCACCTGTCCCAGGACAGGAGCGGGAGTTTGCACCCCAAGCTCGCACACCAATTAACAGTATTGACAGGAACGCCAAGTATGGCCTCGGCTCCGAAAGGGGCGGCCCCGCCTCTCCGAGCCACACCCACGGGTCCCATTCCCAGTCTCCCACCTGGGACTACCAGGCCTCCGGGGACTCTCGACCCCCAAGAACGCCCAGCTTCCTTCCAAAGGACTCAGTTCTTCCACCTGGTAGAACACTCTCACGGCGCTCAGAGCCCCCACTCCCCGCTATCCTGGGTTCCTCGTCCGGACCATTCCCGCCTTCAAGGGTGACCTTCGCCCTTCTCTCTCTTAAGGTGGCCAACCTACTACCCTCAAGCTTGCAATGCAAGATGGCTCTGACCTCAAATTGCCTCAGGGGCGGCCCCAAGGTGGGGGTCCCTGAATCTTGTATTTGAAATAGGCCATCCCCAGGGGCCCTGGCTGAATGAGCCTCTGAAAAGCCACCCCTCGGTCAGGCAAGTACTAACCCCGCCCAGTTGCTCCACAGACTGGAGCAGAGTCCTTTTGCTTGGTCGAAGTCTCAAGTTGAAAAAACACCGATGCGGGGTGCGGAGGGGCGAGGCGGCCCTCCGGGCCCCACCCCCAGCCCACCTGACCCACTTTCCAGGATTCCAGCCTAACCCGGAACTGAGGGAGGCCCTGACCACTAGTTTCATGCGGAGGCTGCTCTGGGGGAGCCGGGGCGCCAGTGCGCCCCTATCAGAACGCCTGGAGAAGTTCCAACATGTGCTTAGCATCCTGTCGCAGCGTCTAGAGCCTGACCGCTAAGACAAGAGACACCCTTCTTTACACCAGGACCCCAAACTTCCAGGGACCTCCAAGGAGACCAAGGAAGTTGCCTCAGGCTTCTCACAGCCTTGAGCAGTGGAAACTGGCTCCAGGCCTCACAAAAAGGAGGCAATCCAAGTTTGCAAAAATGCACAAGGATCCTGGGGTGGGGGTGCAGCAGCCTCCTGCCTCACCCTAGAAGACTGACCTAGGTAAACTGGAGGCCACGCTCCTGCCACACACACACACACCCCACAGCTGGGAACACCCAGAAAGCAATGCCCGGTGGAGAACATGTGGCTTTTCTTGGTAAGAGAACTTGCAGATCTAGTATCAGGAGTTCAAATTCGACTGTACTTCTGAAAAGCTGTGTGACTTTCAGCAGATCATTTCACTTCTCTGTGCTGACCTTCAACACAAAAGTGAAACTGTGTGCTTTCTAGGGTTTGTGGCTGAGATGAAAGCTTAATGTTCCAATCAGATCATGGTGGAGAATGCCTGGCACCCAGCAGGTACTCAATAAACCCTACCCATTCTCAGTAAGCTACAATGCACAGGAAGGAATGGAGTTTGGCATCTTTCTTCCTCTACTGGAGTGACAAGCACCCACTGACTTAAAACCAACTCCCATTAAGGGGCAGGGTTTGTCAAAGGTGTGCTCAAGTTCACCTCCCCTTCCTCATTCCTTGTGTGGCCAGGAGGGTGGCACTGGAGGATCTGGGCCCCATGTCTAATCCTCTAACAAGGCACAGACTCCAGAAACTTTACATAATTTTTTTTTTTTTTTATATAAAACGAAATGGCCCAAGCCGAGTGGCGGGAAGACTTGAACATGAGTATGTACATCGAGCTGGAAGGCACAGCGGGTCTGTTGGGATGACAGGTGGGATGGGGGGCAGCAGGTTACACAGGTCTCAGCCAAAGCCACGGGGGCAGAAATAAAGTGCATAGGTCCTAGGGCTCCCCGTGGCCCAGAAGCAGCAGCCGACAGGCCCCCTCTTCCCGCCTCTGGCAAGTTCAGTTGAGCGAGACTCGGAGGTAGGAGGTGGGCACATAGCCCTCACCTCCCTGTTTCCGCCTGACCCGTGTCCAGCCGTCGCCTTTGTCCTCTTCCATCAGACTAAGGTCCTCGCCCTCGGTCATGGAAATGGTGCCCTCGCTGGACCCTGTCGTGGGGTGGGCCCGGGTCTCTGCTTTAGGCCAACTTGAACATCCTAGCCAGAGACGCCCAGAGCAACTGATGTGCCCCCACCCCCACCCCCCTGCCGCTCTCACCTTCAAAGTGGTAAATGGCCACACACTGGCCTATGGGAGACGTGGGCTCCTCAAAATCCTCATCGAACTCCGTGTAGATGGGGGTGTCCTGGCCCTCTTCTGAGGGGGGCTCTTCAGAGCTGGGTGGGAGAAGAAGGCAGATGGAAGCAGGCCCTCCGGGTGGGCTCTTGGGCCACACCTGTCTGCCTCCCAGCTCACCTCTCCTTGTTGTCCTGTGACCCATTGCTGCTGCTGTCTGGGGGAGCACTGGATGGGGGGTCGGGGGGCCGGGTGTGCCGGCCCAGGCTGTCCCCTCGATTGCTTAGGACCCGGCTCTCGGCTTCTGCCAGCCAAGCCTGGGAGGACAAGATCACATCAGCTCCGGGGCAGGGCTCCGAGGTCGGCCCATCCTGCACCCGGAGATTTCCTGAGATCACCCATGCACACCCAAGGCCGTGATGAGAAACAGCTGGATCCCTGTCCCCCACCCGGCAGTGACTCAGCCAGGCTGGCCGCCACTCCACCCCTCCCCAGGGCCTTCCCCTTACCTCGTACTTTTGCACTTCCAATTTCAGCCGCTCAATGTTGCTCAGGGTTTCTGTGATCCGGGGCTCCAAGCTGGCAGGGTCACCCATTTGAGGTGTCTTCTCATACACATCCTTCATTTTCTTCAGAGCCTCCCTGGGCAAGACAGAGGAGGAAAGAGTTGCAGGTGAACAGGGGCTCGAAGCCAGGAGCAAGGCGAGATTGGTTAGAACTCAAATGTGGGGGCCAGCTACTCGGTAGGCTGAGGTAGTAGGATTGCTTGAGCCCAATAGTTCAAGGCCAGCCTGAGCCATCTAGCCAGACCCAGTCTCAAAACAAAGAGCTTCCATGCTAGTAGGGCTCACTGCCTGGGTTTGACTCTCAGTTTGGCATTTCCTGCTGGTGTGAGCTGAGGCTACAGAGCCTTGCCTGCAGATCTTAACCTTGAAAATGGGAATAACAGCTTGTGTGGGCTGGTGTGAGGACTGGAGCAGTACTTGGTACACAGTAAGTTCCCCACAGTAATTCAATTATTCCTATGTCCATTAGGTACCTGGTATATACTAGGCATTATCCTAGCTCTAGGGGACTGGGCTGTAGCTCAATGTCAGAGCACTTCCCTGGCCAGTGTGAAGCCCTGGGTTTCGTTGCCAGCACCGGGATGGGACAGGAAAGAAAAGAAACATAGAGTCAAGATCAGGGAGTTCATGTGGAGGGTGCAGAATAGTGCCTGGAGCCCAGTAGGTGTTCGTGATTGCTAGCTGTGAAACTATCATAGTCTCCCATTCCCACCTCCTGGTACATCGGGTAGTGGGAGCACTCATGGAATATGGCAGTCTCAGCTCAACTTCCTTCTAGTCATTACCTGACCCATGTCACATATGAGGAAATCGAGGCAAGAAGGTGAAGCAAGCTGCCTGAGCCCTCTGGGACAGCTAGAATTCACGAGCAGCCTCCCTTGACTCTAGGCACGCACCCTTTACCTGCCCCTCCACCACAGAAACCCTGAAACCACCTAGTGCCAGATGAAACTTCACCCCCGGAAAAGCCATCTGTCGGAGAGGTTACTCGCAGACAGCAAACTAGAACTTGGCCGCCTCCTGGCAAGTGGCAAACGTCATTCCTGTTATGTAACAGGACTGGGAAGAGGATTTTGCTGCTTGGAAAGAGTGAGTAAAGATTTTCTTTTTCATCTGGCAAATTTTTATTGTTAATATTTAAAGTGTTTCAATTATTAAGTAGACAGCCATATCCTTTTCTCCCCTTTTGTGGTGATTAGACTGCTAGATTTCTTGATATTGAACCATCTTTGCATTATTGAGATAATGCCCAACTGATTATGTGTATTTTTTTTTCTTTAAAATTTTTTTTTCCTGATTACATAGTAAAGGAGACAACATAAAATTTCCTCCTGTGGTCCCCTTGAGGCTTACAGTTCTGTGGCATTAGGTACCTATATCCAAGTATCACCACACATGGTGTATTATTTTGTGATATGTCATTAGATTTGCTTGGCTAGGATTTTGTATCTAAAATCAGAAGCGAGGTAAAAGGAGCCCGTCATTTTATTGGCTTGAGTTCTTGCTCACTGATTTAGGGACCCAGGTTTCCCCGGCCTCCTAAATAAGCTGGCAGCTCTCACTCTTTCTGTTTGCTAGAAAGGCTTGCAGGAGAAGGAAAGCAGTTTCCTCCCGGTGCGTGAAGAATGACCTGTAAAACCACCCCGCTGGCTGGTGTCTCTGGGAGATTTTTGGGTGCATCTGAGTGTAATTATTTTCTGGTTGTTTTTCCCCTGTGCTAGGCAAGCACTCCACCATTCCTTTAAATGTAACCCCCTGGCACGGTTCTGTCCCCTGCCTGCCGGCTCTGCCAGGCTGTACCTCTGATCCACCTCCTTCTGCAGCTCCCGGTTGCGTTCTTCCAACTGCTGCTGGAGCCGCTTTCTCTGCTGCTCTGGGGGCAGGTGGCTGAAATCCTCCGATGCCACAGTCTGCAAGACGGAGAGAGGCCTGAGTCTGGGATTCTGAAGTCGAAGCTTCCAGGCGCTGCACACTCCTGAGGATTCAAGTCTGCCTTCCTCCCCTTCCAAGGTTCTTGGGAGCAAGGCCATGCACAGAGCGAAGCAGGAGAGGGGCCCAGCCGGCCGCGGGAAGCGAGCCCGGGGTCCGCCACCCTGCCGCTGGGCGGGCCAGGCCAGGGCCGTCCCTCCTCCCCCAGCCTTCACTTACCCCACGGCCACCTCGAAGGCTGCGGAAGGATGCTAGCCGCGGTTTGACCGACTTACTGATCTCACTCAGTATGGCCAAGGGGTCGCGGCCGGACCGGGGGGACGGGGGTCCGTTAGGCAAGGCCGAGGGCAGGGGGCCCCCCAGGGGGGAGAGGGGTGGGGGGCGTGGCTACCAGCGGGGGCCAGGAGGGGATGAGCCAGGAGGAGGTGGGAGTAGAGAACGAGGATGGATGAACGTAAAGATGGACGCAGAGAAGGAAAAACAAAAGGGAGAAAGAAAGAAAAAAAATCATAACGGTAAGAAAATCACAACTTGAGATGCACAACCACACAGAACACACGTGCAAGGGCAACACAAAATCCAGGAGGTGGCAGGGAGGACGTCAGGCTGCGGCCTGGAGGTCATGCCCCCCCCCCCATCTCCCGCATCCCTTGGCCCTTAGGACCAGGGGCTAGCGCAGACCCGCGGCCGTCCAGGGGCTTTCTGGACTCACAGTCTAGAAGGTGTGGGAGGCACATGCAGGAATCAAGGGCTGAGACACAGGCCAAAGGGGCATGCCATTCAGAGGGGGGTGTGGAAGGCAGGAAAGGTCAGGGGAGGAGAGGGCGGAAGGCCAAGATGGCAGGTGTCAGTGGGAGGGGTCTAAGGCACACTGGGGAGCCGGGGCTGTCCGAGGTGGAAACGAGGGTGTTAAGGTATTCGTCTGACACTGAAAACCAAAAAGTCCCCAAAGAAAGTGGCATAAGGAGTGGTGGACCAGGGACCCATGAGCCAGATGGAGGGACTAAGGTGGGGGCACTCCTGAAGGACAGGCTCACAAGCCATCAGGCCACACGAATTCCATTAGCAGGTCTTTTCTCAGCATCCCAAGAAGCAGCAGACAGACTCCACAGGACCCCACCCTGCCCCCCTAGGCCTCGGGGGACTCCCAAGCCAATGGGCCGCCCGCCCGCCTTCCTTCCCTCCAGCCCGGGCCTGCAGCCAAGAGGAAAATTCCTGCCCCGGACTCAGCGTTCCAGTGGCTGGGCCCAACTCAGTGGGGCCTCGACTGTCCCCATCACTGCCCTCTCCCACAAGATTCCGGGCCCCCACCTTGTTCTTTTTGCCGAAGGGCCAGCGCTTGGCACGACTGCGGCCAGGGCCCCGGAGCTCAGGCCGTCCATCTGAGGGGGTGCCCAGGCTGCTGTCGGAGGGTGCACGGTTCATGGGCTGGCTGAAGTCTTCGAATTCCACGTCGCCAGGGCGGGCAAAACCTGACTTATGCAGCTCTATGAGGACCTGGGAGTCCTGGGAGAAGGGGCAGTGGGTGGACAGTCAGGGGCAAGGCCAAGTGCCTAGTTGGGGGGGACCCAACCCTCCCCAGGCCCACTCCTCAGCCCAAACAGACACCCACATTCTTGGCATCCACAGCGTCGGCAGCCACCTTCATGCCCTCCAAGCACTTGGCGATGATGGGTACCACCTGCAGTTCCGCCTCCGATAGCAGCCCATACCCAGCCCCTAGGCGGGTGGCTCTGCGCTCATCCATGTCCTGCAGCTT